AGGGGAATGATATGACAGAGATGTACTAAAGTCCTATTGAGTTTCCCAAATGCAAGTTGTAGAAATGGAAGGACTTACAAAGAGGAAGCCATTTTAGGTATTAATATTCTATTTAGGTAGTAATATACTTAAATACCCCTCACTGGAAAGAAGTTCACTTAGCCAAATTCTGTAACGAAATGCATAGATTAAGGCACAAATTCATTCCACAGAAGGGCAGTTCCAAATCTGAAGGTCCTATGCATTAATTCACGTATTCTTGCTTCTTTCTGTAGCTGGCTTGGATTCCAAGGTCAGTCTCTCCATCTAGTGTACCTTCCTGCCCAGTACTTTGCTGGTACGTGGTAACAATGAACACTTGTCCAGGGAAGACACACTATTTTGATTGGCTTCTGGCCCTACAAAGGAAACCAAGTGAGAGCAGAGGATCACTGAAACCTGAGCAGCTAATTGATTAGCAATGGCAGTTATTAACTAGCACCTGAACAACCACATCCTCTTGGGCAATGTCCAATAAACAAGAAGACAGGGTGAGCCTAGATTTATAGTTCTTTTTTATGCATCTGTCTAAAATCACTTTGAAGAAGATGTGTATACATTTTTGATGGGAACCAACTTGACAGGAAGAACCAAGCATTATTTCCAGCTTTCATTTGGTTACCAATCTGTAATGCATTACCAAATTATTTCTAATGAATTACCAATATGTACTCACTTTCCTGATACGGTTGTGGAGTGCTGTCCTTTGATTCATCCCATTGATTTCACTAGTGACTGGCCAGAACTTCCTTCATCAGGCACAAGGTCGGTGTGTGTGTTCAGCTGCAAATTCTCATTTCACAGCTTCTTCCTTTTCTCACCATATAAAGGAATCTCATCTTTTCTAGGGCAGAGTCTGGACCACATTTTTTTTCTGGATTATTGGGACTGATAACTTCTCTTCCTTGTGCCCCCTTATCGCAACTCTAATCCCTTCCCGTCCGTTCCTAGAGGCAATTTTTTAAAATATTCAAATTGTCTCATAATATCAAATTTGGTTATATTTCTAAAACTTACTTTTGCCCTCCAACAAAAGAAGGTGGATCAATCAACTGCTGAAAGTGGGTGAGGACAAGGATAAGGATATGGCTCAGTTGGTAGAGTGCTTGCCTACCATGCACAAGGCCCTGGGTTCAATCCTCAGTACTGTCACCAAAAAACAAAAAACAAAAAACAGTGGGTGAGGACAGCTGTGTGAAGGTAAAGGGTACAGAGGTGCCAAAGCTTCAGGGATGTCTCAAGACAACACAGAAGAAAAAGGCCCAAGCGATACAGTGGTTTTGAACCTGTTTTCCTATTCAGGGTCTCTACTGAGGCAATGTGGGAACACAGCATTGTTTCAATGCCTCTCTGAAAGACTTACCTCTAAGAACTATCTATCACTGAAATCTAAGAGGATATATATTAATTATAAGAGATTATTTTTAGTTGTTACATGAAAAATATGTATCCTTTAAAAATATCAGCAACAAGTTTAAAAAAAAAACAATAAGCAAAAATCATAGCACACACCTGTAATCCCAGCAGCTCAGGAGGAGGAGGCAGGAGGATTGAGAGTTCAAAGCCAGCCTCAGCAAGGCGCTAAGCAACTCAGTGAGACCCTGACTCTAGTAAAATACAAAATAGGGGTAGGGATGTGGCTCAGTGGTTGAGTGCCCCTGAGTTCAATCCCTAGTATCACCCCCCAAAAAATATGTCTATATGTGTGTGTGTGTGTGTGTGTGTGTGTGTGTGTGTACACTAGTATATATACTAGTGGCTCTAACTGGGAAATGAGAAATGATGTTAATTCTTAAATTCAGTGGCCCTTATTGCCTGTAAAAATATAATTAAGCCTGAGTCCATAGTTTGCATAACTGAGATAGCGAGGGAGGTTTTGTTGGGTGGGGAATATATTTTTTTTTCAGTCACACCAACAATACTAACTTACTACTAGGTGAACTTTTTTTTTTTTTAAATAGAACTGAAAGTAATATGAAGTACTTTTCAAGTTTTGAGGTTTTCATGTTCAGCTTTTTCTGACATGTTAGGTTTAATAAAGTTTTCACACACAATGGGCATAGAAAGTTCCCTGCAGTTGAGAAGTGTGTGATTTGAAACACCGGGTGGAATGGCCACGTGGCCTGGTGGCCCAGGACCCACACTGAGAAGTTAGCAGCTGTGCATGCTAAATCTGGCTCTGTCATTAACCTGCCATGGGACCTTCTAAAAATTGCTTAATTCCAACCATGAAAATAAACACAGGCACCAATGCCCTCGAATAGATTTAAAGGAAATCAGGCCATGTGCATAAAATGAACCAAACTCATTCTTCCTTCTGCTTTTCCTTCCCAATACTTGGAGCAGAGAGAATTCGCAGTGTCCAGGCTGTAGGTTACTGGGTTTTCTTCTAAGGGACCAAGGTAAGCAAGTGACACCAGTGAGAGAGACTGGGGCAGCTGGGACACAGGGGCAGAACTCAAGCCGACTTGGAGAACCCAAGGGCGAATCTCTGTTTGGCGTGGGAGAAAGAGCCCTCTCTGTGACTCCAACTCTCCTGTCATCTGTGTGTCCACTTTGGCTCTGCATCTGGGCCTCGATTGCTCCGGGTTTTCTTTTCCTTTCTCTCCCCACGGCTTCTTGTTTTTCCGGTGTTGGTACCAAAGGGGAGGAAGAACCAATTTTCTCCCACTGCATTTTAAACTTTCTCCTCTGTTGTTAGATGAGGCAGAGTTTTTGAGATTTCTTTCACAGCCCACTCATTTTTCTCCAACACTCACTTTTAAGACAGGTAAAAATGTGCCCAAGAAAATGTAGATTAGTAAAAAGGCAATGAAAGGGCAAGATGTCAGGGCCTCTAAATGCCAGCCGAGTGCAACCAAATTTAATGATTGGAAAAAGCCACACTCCCAAGACTGAATTGCCTCTGTGACATTATATATCACCTATGTAAAAATGGTATTTTGTCTTTGTTACCTTACAACCTGCTGGAGGATATAACAGCCTTTAAATTCTGTTATCTCAGGAATACAAGGATTATTTGATTTAGAATACAAATGCATGTACTTCCAAAGTCAAAGTGATTTTGAAGTATAGTCACAAGGGTGGTTTGTTTTGGGCCAGGTTTGGCCAGGAAAAAAAAAATACATTGCACTGGAAATATGTGTACTGCATTCACTAAATAATGCAGAAAAGTTAGAGGCAAATATCCAAGTCACAGTCATGGCCACAGGGGGAAAAAGGAAAAAAGGTCATGATCAATAAACAGCCACACTCACATTTGCCCAGGATTAGGTAAAGCAAACACCTGTATGTGTGGGGATGTGAAATCCACCCTTCTAAAAAGTCTTCTGCCTGGAAACTGAGAGTCATCTGGAAATTCCCAGGTACTGAGGAAGAAAGGGTGGCTCCATGCTGACAGGTGTCACGGAGGAGGAGTATGCTACTGAGAGTTCAGCTTGTTTTTTTCCTAAATCAATGAAATACAAGTGACTCCAAAGGCAAAATTCATCAGCTACTGGGGAAAAGAGGACAAGAAACTAACAGCTTTAATCTGTGAGTGAAGTTACCAAGTAGATTGTAGGTAACAAAGCAAATAGAAAAACATGCTGCATCATTCTAAATTCATATTGTATGATTCCAAACCATCTGTAGAAAATTCTTCAGTGATAAATACAATATTTATACCTGTGTATACAACGGGGCTTAAGTGACAAAAAGGAGTGATGATTTGAGAACTAATTTGATTATTTGAAGTATAAATCAATACAGTCTCATATTCATAACAAGGTCATAATTTAAAAGGATTTCTTCATGTAATAAGATTATTTTTTGAAAAGAACAAAGATTAACAATTATACATATTTTTAAGAATTTATACTTAATGTTCTATTTGATATTTTAAGTCATTTATCCTTTTTGACTAATAAAATTGAATTCAACAATTGTTTATCCAACACCTATATTACTAGTTCTGTAATAGCCTTGTTCTAATTCACTTGATCCTCTCAGTTACATCTGGAAATTATTAGCATTTTTGGTTAGTTTGTTTTTGGTACTAGGCATTGAACCCAGTGGCTCTTCACAATTGAACTATATCCCCAGCCCCTTTTTACTTTTTGAGACAGGGTCTCTCTAAGTTGCTGAGGTTGGCCTCAAACTTGTGATCCTCCTGCCTCAGCCTCACAAGTCACTGGGATTTCAGGTGTGCACCACCATGCCCAGCTTACATTTGGAAATTAACATGAAATAACAGCATATTATTCTTTACATTTCTCCTGTACAGCATATAAATAGAAACTTGAGGACAAAGAGTACATGCTGGTTTGCTTAATAGCATTGGCTGCTTTGATTTACTGTGTCAAAAAATTACAATATAATCTTTCAAAAGAAGCTCTGATTAGAAAAAGCAACGCTGCTTAACACAATAGGATTATATAGGTGGACAGACTATATGGTGAGGAAGTATCTGACACAGGGTCTATTCCTTTATCAGAGAGATTAATGCGAGAGACATCCTAGAGGTGTGGCACTTGAAATAATCACAGGCAAAACACGATGCTAACCTTGTTCTCTAGCTCTTTTTATTATTTCTTCGCAAACCCTACATTAAATATAGAAACAGCTATTGCTTTGAACCAAAAAGAGAGGTGTGTCTAGGCTTTGCGGTAGCATCGGCATATCAGCCCTATTGTGACTTCCTTTCTTTTCATGTTCCGTCATTTTCATGATCTGTCATTTACCGAGATGATTCCGCATGAACCTGAACCACAACACCTAGTGAGTTACTTGTATTTTATCAGCATCAATATATCTTTGAGGAGAAATATGATAGCTTTCAACTTTTAGATATTATTCAAATTCATGTTTTTCTTCAGCACTAAACTCAGATTTTTTTTTTTTTTTTGTACTGGGGATTGAGCTCAGGGGCACTTGACCACTGAGCCACATCCCCAGCCCTATTTATTTTATTTAGAGACAGGATCTCACTGAGTGCTGAGTGCCTTGCTGTTATTGAGGCTGGCTTTGAACTCGCAATCCTCCTGCCTCTGCCTCCCGAGGCACTGGGATTACAGGCGCGCGCCACTGCGCCCAGCTCAGATGATTTTTTAATCCACACATTTTTGAAGAATGAGGTATCCAAAGTGATAAATTAACACAAATACCCCAATACATGCTTTATGACTTCATATGCATTAAGAAGTTGCCTTGGATTCCAGTTTCCTCATTTGAAAATGTGGAATTAAATAGTGCTTTCTAACTCTGGTAATTCTAGAACAATAAGATGTTTGTCATATTGATTTTTAAATAATATCAAACTAAGGGATTTATCTTACACAAAGTCAAGGACACATAAATGTAGAGGAAAAGCGGCATCTGAACTCTTTTCTCAGGGGAGCTAACCTACGTGGGTGTACGGTGTGGGAGAAGCCAGGCATGGGATGGGCCATGGCCATGTGTGGTCCTTGGCGTGGACACCATACTCCAGTCTCCAAGCTTCAGAAGGCCCTAACCTGTGATGTCTCTCATCTTAATAAAATGCTTTTCACAGCCCCACTTTGCCTTCCAGGTTCCAAACCCCTCTCTCCTCCCTTTGAAGGCTGCCTGTCCTTCCATCTCCACCTCTCCCTCTCTTGTCAGTGAACCTGCTCCCACCCTCTCTACCTAAAGAGCTCTCCCAAGGCCACCAAGGGCTTGATGGCCGCTTCTTCCTGCAGCTGGCCGTCTCACCAGGGCCGGGCTCCACACCTTCCTCCATAATCCAGTTCCTTCACGTGGCTTCCAGGGTTCTGGCCCCGGGATGTCCCCTGTGGGGCGCTATGCCTTCTCCCCCTCTTCTGTTCACGCCTCCTCACCTCCTTGGCTGCGAAATGGAGGGAGAAGTCAGGGCACGGCCCCTGGGCCATCTTGTTTCTGTCTCCACTCAGCCCTGGATCTCACTAGTCTCCCGATGTCACCCACCACCCGACCACAGGTGGCCCTCAGAGGTCCCTCTGTGGATCTGCAGGTTCAGCTGTCCTCTCGGCGTCTCCTCCTGGTTGTCCACTGGAACTCACACCCACAGGTTCCCCACAGAAGTGCTGAGGGCCGCCCTATCCCTACAGGGTTCCTCATCCCAGTAAAAGGCAGCTGCATCCCTCTAGGGTAGAAGCCCAGACCCTGGTGTCTTCCTTGGCTGGGCTCAGATGTCACAGTCCCTCAGCAAATCTTGTCAGCTCTGCCCTCAAAATATGTCCAAATTCAATACTGGGCCATATTTTAACCACACAGACATCACCAGCTGATAAGCTGCCTCCCCACGCAGCTGGAGGTTTGCAGTAGCCTCCATCCTGCCTCCAGGCTGCCTCCCCCCAGGCTGACCTCAGAGAAGTGCCCAAACACGTCAGATGTCACTCCCCTTCTCCAGCGTCTTCTCATCCCACTCAGAGTACAAGCTGTTCTAGGACTCTCAGGGCCCTGTGCAAGCTACACAAACCTACACCCCAACACACACCCATGCACACGCGCACACAAGAGACACACGTGGACACACAGAGGCACACAGACACAAAGGCACATGCACACACGTAGACACAGTACATGCAGGAAAACAGACACAGACACACAGACACATGGGTGGACACATGAGGTCCTCTGCCTCTCTGTCCTCTTCTCCTACTCTTTCCTTCAGTCTCTGCTGCAGCCGTTGACCTCTCCAGTGGCCTCTGCGCTGCTCTTGGGACAAGTTCAATGTGCTCTTCTCTCTGGGAATGTTCTGCCTAAGGCTCTCCACGTGCTCAATGCCCTCATTTCTTCAAGTCTTTACCACAAAGTGATCTTCCCAGAGACGGCTCCCTAGCCACCTCATTAAAAATTTAAAAACACCCCCTTTATATACCTCACCGCCCCCACCAGCTATTGTTCTCTTCAGCACATGTGACCTATGATACCAAATTCTTACCTGTTCCTAGGCTCCCCAGGGGATCATCAGCCTCACGGGCATGGGCTTCTTCTGTTTTGTTCACCATATTCACAGCGGGTGGAAGGACACCTGGAGCTACAGGCCTGCGACACTGTACTCAGAATTGATTCAATGGTGACTAATACTGTTCTAGAAATGACAGCAAAAGAGAAATGAACTGTAGAGTGGTGTGAGCAAGTGCTCATGGAGGTGAACCCCAGCCTCTTGCAACTCAAAGCATGCAGAGGACAGATTTCACAGAACATTGTAATTAACTATTTATACGGTGTGTAATACACACGCACACACACACACACACACACACACTCATGTACATACACACACACACACACACAGACACACTCACTTTACGAGAAATGTTCCAAGCTGGGGGTGGTGGCACAAGCCTACAATCCCAGCAAAATGGGAGGCTGAGGCAGAAGGACCCTAAGTTTCAAGCCAGCCTCAGCAATTTAGCGAGATCCTACCTCACAAAAAAGGAGCTGGGGATGTAGCTCAGTGGTTAAACACCCCTGGGTTCAATCCCCTAGTCCAAAAAAAAAAAAAAAAAATAGACCAAACCCGTGATATAATGGGTCAGCAATTCCTAGGAGATGTTAAACACGGTATTAGTGAACCGTAATTCCCCTACTGCAAAAGCTAAACTCACATGGAAATAAGGAAATTAGGTACCCTATTCAAATACTTCTGATCATGCAAGCAATTTGATGAAAACTAAGGGTAAATCAAGTTATTTAAAATTGTTTTAATTCATTTTTGGTATGTTCTCACATCCAGTAGATGTGGATGGAACACACCTGCTTAGGATGTCCACTTACCTGAAAGATACTAATATCAATGTTTATTAGATGAAAGTAAGGGAAAATCTACATTTTGAAGGAAAAGTCAATGATTTGTTTATGGGTATGTTTTTATAAGACCATGTATTTTTGATTCTGAAAGGATTAATTTTTAATTTCCTATGAAGTGAGCCACGTGGTACACCTGGGACTCCTGAGAAGTTTGGAACACGCCTTGCTCCAGTTCCACTGAGGGGCAGGGACAGGTGAACGTGTCTCCATTTGGTGAGAGGCAATACCTGTGTTGTTTACTACCCCTTCCTAAAAATGCGGAAGGGTGAGGGCTGTAAGATGTCTCTCCTCTTTTCCTACTGTCTTTCACCCACCTCTGACTTCCCACCTCTTTATCCATTCTTTCTTAGCCCGTTTTTCTCTCCTTACATTTCTGTTAGCACTTGTCTTGTACTTGTATGTCTATCCATTGCTCTTGGGACAGGAGCACCACCACCTCACCTTCTTTCATAAACAGACTGAACTTCCTTGCTTTAGCATGTTTTTAATTTTTCTACAAAGTAAAAATAAGCCAGTTAGTTACAGTAGGGCACGCCTATAATCTCAGTGGCTTGGGAGGCTGAGGCAGGAGGATTGCTCGACCTTTTGAATTCAGCTTCTTTCCTCACTCCCACCTCTCGTCCTTAGGCACCCCTGCCCCGTCCCACCTGCCTCCCTGGCCTAATCTCCCTGCTCCTGCCTCCACTCCCTCTGCTCTCACCCTTGGCACCAACCTCTCCTTTGTTAGCACTCTACTGAACACTTTCTGCCTTTTTATTTGAATATCTGCAGCACAGTTCATCCATATTTACTTACTGCAAGTGGGTCTAACTCCGATCAATACCACTTTTATGGGAAATGGAATTTTAAAGCTTTAAAAAGACCCAGGGAAATGAAAAGCATGAGTCAACTGAATGACATCCGTTGTTTACTGAGCATCCACCACATTCCAAACCTTTACATGCCTTGCCTCTAATCCTCACA